TTTTGTAGAAATGTAGTGAAGTAAAAAGTACAGATACTTACTGTAAAATGTAGTGGAGTAAAAGTAGAAAGTAGAAAGTACCCATTATTAAATCTACTTAAGTAAAGTACAGATACACGAAAATTGTACTTAAGTACCACTGACTGTACCCACCACTGACAATCAGTTTTTCCAACAAGGCAATGATACGTAGCACAAATCAAAACTGAGTAAAATCCTCTTAAAGATGTGTTGACTGTGATCGGGTCTTTGTAAAGAAGTAAAGCAACCAGTTTAAAGGAACTTCACCCTTTTTTTTTTTTTTTTTTTAAAGAATAGTGGTTAAATATCCTATGAGGATTATAGCAGAACATTGCTAATGGCAGTACAAAGTATCTCTCTTCAGACTGATAATGCCCATTTATCCAAATATGGCTGTGCTTGTATATAAGGATGAACAATATTAGAAAGTCTTGCGATTGCAGTAATATTGCTATTTATTGACAATGATGAGATCCGTTGCGATAGATGCCTATTTTCTTCTTTTCTTCTGTGACCTTTAGCATTTTGGATATTGTCATTAGTGTCCAGTGTGAGCGTCTACTGCCATGACACTGTCCAAATATTGCATTAGCACATGAAATGCAACTTTATGACCCTTAACATATATTAGCCAACAATTGCTGCTTTTTAAATAGTGCTTTGCAATATAAATATTGCTGAGACTAATATTGGAATGTTGTATTTCCAATATATTTTTGCACACTTGATCCTGTACGTATAATTTTGACATTGGTGTGATTAGAGAAAATCCAGATTAGATTCAAACTTTTGCAACCAGTTTTTGTGTTACAGCATCATTTTAACCTGGAAAAAGGAGTTAAGTGGAGATTCACGCCTATGATGAAAGTATGGACAGTTTTAATGCGGAGAGACTAATATGTTTAATCGTGTTTTTCTTTTTTCTTTCTTTTTTTACAGGACTCTCTGTCACCCCCCGCACTCAGCAGTCCCTCCTCTTCTCGCGTTATCTCGCAAATTATCGGAGCTGAAGACGACTATTTCGGTCGAGACCAAGAGCAGGTGGGCTTTTTTTTTTTTTTTTACAGCCTGCTGCTAACATGGGTGTCGTACATTACAGATGTACTATAAACATACCCAAACGTACCCTTGCAAAAGCAAGTTTAAAGAAGAACGTGCGTGTGTTTCAGACAAACGGCCAGTGCGACAGCTTTAACAGTATTGAGCAGCTCAAGTCTCGCCCGGCTCACCTCGCAGCCTTCCTGCATTATGTCATCTCTCAGTTCGAACCTGCTCCTGTGGTGAGACTCTCTTAATCACAGTTGTTGTCTGTTTGTATGCAACCCGACGTCCCCTAAACGAATCTCAAATGCTCCGGTTCTCAGTTGTGCTACCTCTATACCGAGCTCTACAAGCAGACCAACTCCAAAGAGACCCGACGGGTTTTCATGGACCTCCACACTTTTTTTATGGACCGGGGAGCAGTGAGTCGCTCACGTTTGAAACATGAGTCACATTTTCACATGGAAGTTGTTGAATGCCACTGAAATTACTCTTAACATCTTTGTTATTAAATATTTAATAGTTCGATTTTTCTGAATCAGTCACATGTTTGGGCAAACATGACCATAATGTCTGGCAAGACATTTATGTCGATTATGGCACTGGCATGTTAAAATGGCATCATTGCAACTAATTGACTTAAAAACATTTTCTGTTGCAGAATTTAAAGGTTCCTGTTCCTGAATCTGTTTCCTCTGATCTTGGTAACTATGTCATTGTGCTTATGAAACTCAGTGAAAATTCTGCTTTGTTTGATCATTTTTGTTTGAGTGTGAGTCCTTAACCTTACGTTTAGCGTATTTAAAGAGTTTTCTTCTTTTTTTTTTTTTTTTTTTTTTGGAAATCGGTGGCGGGGGGAGGTACACACAGCAGAAATAAATAGGCAACATGTCCAAACGCTGCAGGACTCTCTGCTAGCGGACGTTGAGAAACACCTCGAGGACTTTCGGTAAACCATGTCGCTCTTGACTGTTGTATTCCTTTCCAACGCGGCAGCTGCTTAAGTAAATTGTCTTAGAGTTCAAACTGTGAATTGTTAATATCAATGCACAAATAGTTTTTTTTTTTTTTTTTTACAGCGATTCGTGGGTAAAAATATGTTTTGAATTTCAGGCAGAAGCGCAATATGGGTCTAACGGTGGCTGAAGCTGAGCTGGCCAGACTGGACCAAGAGAGAGTCCGAGATCGCGTCACGCTCGAGCGAGAACGTTCCTACGCTGAAAACATCATATCTAAAATAGATGACGTTCTGTGAGTCGCTCACTCAGATGAATTTCCGGTCTGACGTTGACATGCAGTCATTAAAAATGATAAATGTAGGTCTTTTAACGATGTGTTTTAGATGTCTTTGTCTCCTAGTTGAAATGATCATAGAACTGAAAAACTTTTTAAAAAAAAATAAAATAAAATAAAAGCTGGAATTTGTTTTTTCTTTTTCATTACAGAGTTTGACATAAAAACTCAAATATTTGAGCACTAATCTTTGGTTGAGCATCAACCCTCTGGTAGCATTCTGGCCGAATATAATCATATTATATTGTCCGCTTCGTGCTTTGCACGAAGACCACTAGTAGAGAGATGGACCCTCATCATGACCCTGCCACCAGTTCGAGTTATGACGGCCTGAGGCGCAGTTAGGCAGTTTTTTTTTTTTTTCATCCATTCATGCTACTTCTTGCATGCAGTCTGTATTTGAAGGTTTTATCTTCAAAATGTGATCTCTGTAGAAAGATCTCATAATTTATTGGCATTTTTTTTTTTTTTATAAATTAAATTGCCTTATAGGGTTGAGAACTCTGTAAATCTGAGCCAGAGTCTCTAATCTTTGGCTCCCTCAAGAAAAAATGTGCAGAAAGCCTGTCAATCCAAATTAGACTGAAACAAATCATAGTTCTACTTTCAAAGAGGAACTCCCAGCTTCAGGCAATCCTCATCATTTGCAACAAATTAATAGTCGTTTATAACATCAAGTTGAAGTAACGTTCTAGAACTTTAGCTCTATTCATTAGAAGATTCGATCAACATATGCATATATTTGAGAATTGCTGTTTAATTTAGTGGTGGTGCGTATTACGTCAGATCATACACGGACACCCAAGAATTCTGTCATGGCAGAAGCCATCGAGTTCATTCATGCAGGATTGTTTCTCCCTTAAAGCATTTAAAGCCTGTAATTGGAATGATGTCTATGCAAAAGATGAGAGCATGCAAACATCTGACTGGAAACGTGTCCATACAAATACATTTACATGAAAAGTCATTGGGATTGCTGAGCAGAAATATACTACCGATGTCTCTTTTTGTTCAATCGTATATTTTTGTTTGCCTTTCAGTTTAACTACTCAGACCACAGAGGAAGACAAATGGTAAGATACCTCATATTGTCACATGTTTAAAGTATATGTTTCTTTGAGTGTTTGAGAGTTTTATTGTTGCTTTTTTGAATGAACGAGTCTCAAACTTAAGAAGTCTTTTAGCACTGTCACTTCTGTCTTTACACATTTTGATTTCATAAAATTGGGCATTAAAAAGCAGACTTGGGTTAAATGAACTATGTCAGAAATAGTAATTTGTTAACTTAAGACCATATGTCTGTGATGTTTCTCCCACGGCGACTGAGCAACTCTGACACATTCCTTTGTGCCATTAAAGCTCCGATTTGCATCTCCCACAGTTTACAAATAAGGGCAGACTCTTAAAGAGAACATGTAATTTATGCAGTGTGTTTATATTAAATTATTCAAAAGTGTGACTGATTGAAACACTCTTGTTTGATATGCCATATGGTCTCGGCACTGCACAGATGGGTTGTCTAGAAATTGTACGAGGACTGGGGTGACATATGGCACAAGTCACAATATGCATACATGTGCTATTCACAATTAAACACTGCCTCTTTTTTTGTTCAACTGCAAATACCAATCTTCTTATTTATTAACTCTTCCTATTTTCCGTTTAGCTCTACAATACAGTTTGTTATCTACACGTACATGAAGCACCTCGGTGTGAGGGTCAAGGAGCCTCGAAATCTGGAGTCCAAACGGGGTCTGAACCGCCTTTTCCCTAAGATGAAGGTACCACGTGTGCGTCTGGCGTATCAAATGTTCTCCTTTACCTTCATCAAGCATGTAACGCTTTGTCTCCTCCTCTTCTTTAAGCAGAAAAGTATTAAAACAGATAAAGAAGTCGATGACAGATTAAAAAAGAAATTTTTAAATCTTGTACCTCAGCGTCGACCCAGCCGCATCGAAGCAGCAGGTAGGTGTTTGATTTCGTGTGTGTGTGTGTGTGTGTGTGTGTGTGTGTGGGTGTGTGTGTGTGTGTGTGTGTGTGTGTGTGTGTGTTTTGGAGGCTGTGAGATCTATATAACATATGTTATTTGGAAGTTTACATACATTAAAAAAATACAATACCCTTTGGTAGATTATGATTTGTGTGGCTTTGTATTTTCGGCCAGAGTTGCATTGATTTATTTTTTTATTTGATTTGATTTTTTTGGACAAGATTTTAAAGATGATAGAAAGTGAGAGTCGGATTGGTGTGCAGATTCTTCTCCAACACATCCCACAGATTCTCAGCATGGTTAAGGTCTGGACTTTACGATGGCCAATCCATGTGTGAAAATGACGTATCATGCTCTTTTAACTACTCTTGCATAATTTGAGCATGACAAATTCTGGCATTATCATCTTGGAAATATGCCTGTGATAAAAATCCATTGATGGACTAACCTGGTCACTCAGTATGTTCAGGTGGTCTGCAGGCAGATTGTGTGCAGCATAGTGCCGCCTCCACAGGCTTGAAAGGTGGATGCTAGGCATGATGGGTACATCACTTAATGTGCCTCTCTTCTTACCTTAGCAACCATCACTCTAGGACAGGATAACTCCGAACTTATCAAATCACACGATCTTCTTCCGTTTCTCCACACTGCAATGCTTGCAAACTGAATCCATCTGTTGTAAGCAGCCTCAGTAATCAGTGGTGTTCTTGAAACTACTCAGCTGTGTTGCACAAATCCCTTAGACAGGCAATATGAAAACAATGGGAAGGTCTAGTTAACATGCGAGACAAAGACTGGTTCTGTGTCCCAGAGAGAACCATGTTTTGATGTGAAAGCCTAAAACATGGTTTTGGAGCAAAAACAAAGTACCTTGTGAATATGCTGATGGAAGCTGGTAAAAAAAAGACATTATCCACAGTGAAGAAAGTCCTGAACCAACAGGGGCTGAAGGACACTTGGAGAGGAAAAAGCCATTACTCCAATAGTAACATTAAAAAAAGGGGATTATATTTTCAAATTGCACTCACAATGGCCTTATGCTTTGGAGAGATATCTTGTGGTCTAATAAAACTAAAGTGGAAATACTTGGCCGTAGTAATTATTGCTGCATTTGGAAGAAAAGTGAAGATATTTATAAGCCAGTGAAGATCGCCTCAACTGTGAAGTGCTGTTTAATGGTGTTTTGCTGCAAGAGGGACTGCTGCATTTCACATTACAGGTTTTATTTTATTGTAAGTAAAAAATAAAAAAAAACATTGCATGTTTTTATTGAAGCTCTAGACAACAGCATGACGATCGAAGATCGGGCACTGACGGCTCTTTATGCTAACAATATCTATAAGCTTTCTGCCAATTTACAATTACAAATTACTGCCAACACATGCAATTTTTGGTCTGGTCATCAAAGAGCTCTTATATGAGAACCATAGAAAATTTGTGGACAGAGCTGAAAAGGTGTGTACATGCAAGACAGCCTAAACAAAACTAGCTACACCAGTTCAGTCATGGAGGAATGGGCTAAAAATCCAGCAAACTACTGTGAGAAGCTTTTGGGAGAATCACCAAAACGTTTGACCCAAATCAGATACGTCAAAGGCAATGCTAAGAACACTTAAGTTATTTTCAGAACGCAAAGAAAGGATGGAAATTATTTTCTTGTTATTTTGGTATTGACCTAACAAACCTAAAACAGGAAAGGCTTATTATGATTCAATTATCGTGGGGGGGGGGGGAATGGCTTTATGTAACTCTTTAAAAACCGAATGCATTTATCTGGTGTGAGCTGTAAAAAAAAAAAAAAAAAAAACTGGCACTCAATATATATTTTTTCCTCTTTTTACACAACAGGCAAAAACCCGGAAAATCGCCCCAGGCCTCAGAAACAGCTGTCTCAGCCAACGCTAGGAGCGGTTGAGCTAATGGATAGCAGCCGTCTGCGGGGCAGCCAGTCCAGCGAGGGCCCCGAACTCACTCATTCCTTGTCCGTCTCATCTCCCAGTAACACCACTTACAGTGTGGAAGCAAACCGAGACGCTGATATTGGTGAGCTTTATCATGGCTTATTGAGTTAGAATATTAAGGTTGTTGATGTGGGTTTTGCAGCATGTTGGTAGTTTAGTATAATGAAATAGCCTTTACTTTTGGGAAGTTTAACATGTTTAATAGCCTTGTAGCCACTATGTAAAGTGGTCATAGTTTCAACATTCTGCTACATTCTGCTGTTCATGTCTAAGCTTTAAGATGGCGAAGCCACATATATGTACGTGCAGAAATATATTCTTTGAGGATGCATAAGAATAAGCTTGATATAAAGTTAATCATTCACATTTTGCTACACAAATCACCACCAACTGCAAAAATAGAGTTCAGAACGCATTTAAAAACTGTCAAATTGTTTGTTTCATGACGTCTTTTGGTGCTAAACCAAATTACATTCCCTTCAAATTGGTGGAATTGTGAACCAGTGAACAGATTTCAACTTCGTTATGCTGATTACAGCTCCCATTTGTGTTTGGGAAAGGGAGCAAAGCGGTTCCAGGGGCAAAATTAAAAAGCATAATTATCAGCAAGCAAACTCTGAACTGATGATTCTGCTGCAGCTATTACACTTTACAGTTTATGTTGAGTCACTTCAAACATTTGTGGAACTGTACGGTGCCAGTTTTGAGCTGCAGGATTACAACTATCACTTTATGGCAGCATAACACCATTATGTCAGGATGCCCGCAAAAAAAATAAAAAATAAATAAATAAATCCCACAAAAGGGTGGTGCAGATTATATTTGTGTACTGCATGTTCCAAAAACTGTGTGGGCAAAAGATGTCTGCGTGGGACAGATTAATGCAGCAGGACTCCTGGCAATCTTTATGCAGTTAAAGCAAAGTGAAAACCACCGTGACACACATGGGGTTGTTGAGTTGTCGAATAAAGCTTTGTTTTTGATGGATTTTAAAACATTTTGGCTGGTGTTTCGTAGCACTGTATACAGAAGCACGCTACTGTCACGGTGGAAAAAAAATTAACAATGTAATTACCGTGTGACGAAGGGACAGAATTCAAAAACGTATTTTCCTCCTTGACAGAAATATACTCCTGTAACTTTTGCATTGCTCATTTCAAATGAAATGTAGCAACATTGATATTACCAGTATTCTGCCAACTCCATGTTTTTCAATTTGAGCTTTCTTTTATGGCCACTCTGTCTTCCGTCGCCATCCACAATTACAGACAAAATCCTCATTTAAAGCCCACTTGTGCATTCCTTTTTTTTTTTTTTAATCTGGGATCTTTTAAGATCAGACCCTAAGTCTTAACTCCTTGTTGAAATTTCTCCCCTTCTGTGACCCTTTCGTTGACTACAAATGAAGTCATTTAAGTCAGCGTACGGCGTAAGCACACTAAACTCTTCAAGCTAAGCTAATGTATGTGGTTCAGTTTCAGGTGGGACTCCAACATCAGCCCCCTCCAGGCTGAGTGACGGCCTTCAGCCTGATCCTCTGGATGGATTAGCCTTCCCTGATTCAACTGAGCTTTATCCCATGGAGAAGTTACAAGAAGACGACAGAGAAAGCGACAGGTGAGTTTTTACGCATTCTGCATCAGAATGAAGACGATTTCCCGTTTTTGTCATTGGTTAATTGAACTAAATCTTTCTCAGGGCTCACGACGGGACACCAAAGGCGGTCAGAAGGTGAGTGCAGCAGATCCGTTTGGGATTAATCTTTGGCGTTTGGGATTAATCTGAAAGGTAAAGGGAGAAATGAATAGTGACCTTATTCTCGTCTTAGACTTGAGGCATTGGGTATCGGAGATGTCCAGAGCGAGGACGATCAGGGGACAGACTCTGAGCTCCACAACTGGCAGCAGCTGGTGGGACGAGAGGTCCTCGCGGGACTCAGGCCTCAAGAGATTAAGAGACAAGAAGTTATAAACGGTGAGCCAAACAGCGTCCATTGGTCCATAAGTCTTCTTCATGTTTGATGTGCTACAACCACAAACGTATTTCACTGGGATTTCACATGCTGCCACAGGACTCTTATAAAACCAGATAGTGTGTAAATATAAAGGCAGTATGTGCTTTATGTTTTTAAGTCGGCAACCTGTCGTCCTTCGTTTTCCATATTTATGGGAAGGGCTCACTCGGTTAGCCTCAGCTCATGTACTGCATTTCAGCCTCAGCCGCAGATGAAAGTTAAAAAAAAACAACAGGATTCGTTTTGTCCTAGAATCTGAAAAAAAGAAAGCAAGATTAGTCTAAACTCCTTAGCTTTCAAAATAGAAATGCCATCTAGTACATATTCATAATGTCTTTTATAAATTAACGTTTCTTTGCAATGGAACAATGCTAAATCCAATATCTGAAAATGGAAAGAGATCCAAACTCTTGCAGGCACATCGAGACACGCCTTTTGAACTAAAGTGATTGGTTGAGATTATAAAAGAAGGAGCCAAGAAGTCCTTAGGAACTCTGGAGGAGCCGAAGAGAGCTACTTCCATAGTGGAAGAATTTGTCGACAAGACAAATATTAGTTGTGCGCACAATAAATCTGGCCTTTGTGGAAAATTATCTAGGAGATAGTAATTACTGCACTCTTCGCTGGCAGACCAGAGTCACTCCTCATAGCGATACAGTCAGGTGCTCTGGTCTGATGAGGCCAAACTTTGACTGTTTGGTCCAAATCCAGAGCACTCTGTGAGAAGGACAGTGACCTATGAAAAGAGCGAGTGAAGCACGCTCTGGCAGCACTGTGCTGTGACGATGCTTTTCTTCAGCAGGGGCAGGAAAGCTGGGAAGCTGAAATGAAGGCAAATGCTGAGCAATCCTGGAGGAAAACTTATCGAAGGCTCGAGACTGGCTGGCGGGTTTACCTTCAAGCAGCAACAAAAACCCTAAGCAAAAGTTAGACCTAAAAACGGAATGGTTTAGATACATTTTTCTAAAGTGCCCAACATCCCGTCAGACTGATGATGAGCTATTTTTGCAACCAAAAAAAACAAAAACAAAGAATAACCAAAAATGTCAGTCTGTAGATTTGCAAAGCTGGTGGACAAAACCCCAAAAGCCCACAGCAAGAAATGGTTCTAGCAAGTGACGGACCTGGAAATACACCTTACAGGTCCTAATTTGTGAAAAATGCAAATGCCCTGTATCATTGTAATTCCACTTCACAACGATGAACAACCTTGTGTTTGAGTATAACATAAAATCCCAAGAAAAGGCATTCAAGTTTATGAAGAAAAGAAAATCAAGAGACATGAATGCTTTTGCATGTCGGTATGAGAGCACGCTCACAATGTGCTCTGAGTTAACTCCTCTCATGCCGTCCGCAGAGCTGTTTTATACGGAGCGTGCGCATGTGGGGATGCTGAAGGTTTTGGACGACGTTTTCTACCAGAGGCTTTCCAAAGACGCAATCCTTCCTCCTGCCGACATCAAGAACATCTTCACCAACCTGGAAGAGGTCCTACAGCTGCATGGTACACTCAATAAAACGACTCTCGTACTCTGTAACTTTAACTCGTCATTCATAATTCACTAACGATGCATTTGTTGAATTTCAGTTTCAATACTTGAGCAAATGACAGCCATACGGAAGAGAAATGATTTGTTGGTAATAGATCTGAGGGGGGACGACTTGCTCTCGTGGGTGAGTCAAAATGGTTTCTTCTGGCATCGTTTTTTTAAAACTGTGGTCACAGCTTGAATGATGATGCTGAAGCAAACTGTGCACACAGAAACGGGGAATGTTCACATTTGATATTATGCCTTTTTTTTTTTCACACCACAGCCTTCAAAGTCTGTTATGAGCATTTTATGTGTCAAACTAATTGAAAGTAAGCCATAATTGTCAAATGAAAAGAAAATGGTGTTTGCAGTTTGCAACTTGTTTCAAGTCTTACCACAGAGTCTGGACTTTGACTGAGCCATTCTAACACTTGAATATGCTTTGATAAAATAAAAAAAGAAGTTTTTTGCAACCTGTAACAGGCTTTTGTTAAGTGTTACTCATAAGATCTGATTTAAAAAAGGAAAAAAAAAAGAGATTTTTATTTATGAATTTTTAGAAGGCCTTGACCTTTACAAATATCGTCTACTTTTTAGAAAGAAAAAAAAAAAACCCAGACAGAAGGAGAGTGACAAAGGAACACTTTCCTATCTTAGTAGCAGGGAATGTTTCCACCATGGAGAACAAATGCAGCCTCGTTTCTTAACGATGTCCGAAGATGGCCCAGATTTGGCTAACATCTACACATCTCAACGTGACATATTTGGTGTGAGGTAGTCAAATATCCAGTGGCAGGCTCGTCCGAATCCCCCCTCCCTGTGCAGGGAGATGGATATAAGGAGGACAAACGGTCCCCTGAGGTCTGAGCATCGATCGAGTACCACATTAAAACTTAAGCTGTCCGTGCTCGAAAGGACATAAGTCAGGCCACTTTCTTGGAGTCGGCTGCTCACGTAATAGATTTCCGTTACGAATGCTTCTGACCAACTGAGCTCCTCTTCATCTCCGCCCTGCAGTTCAGTGGTGCCGAGGAGGAGAAGATCAAGCAGGCAGTGGGAACCTTTTGCAGCAACCAGCCGTTTGCGCTGGAGATCATCAAGACCAAGCAGAAGAAAGACTCAAGGTTCACCTCATTCATTCAGGTACTCGTGATGCGTCTCACTACATTGTAAAGGGTTCTTTTTCACACCCAAAAAAATATATTTCACTGTGTAAGGACTCCTGACTTGTCTATTTTTAGGAGGCGGAGAGTAACAGACAGTGTCGACGACTGCAGCTAAAGGACATAATTCCTGTTGAGATGCTGCGGCTCACCAAGTACCCCCTGCTGTTAGACAACATTGTCAGATACACAGGTGCAGTCATGCTGACGCAGGTTTTTTTTTGTTCGTGTTCTAATTAGGTTCTAGTCTGTGGGTTTGTGGGCTGCTTTTCGTCTTTTAGCTGAATTTGGTAATTATTTAATTAACCAAATTGCGTATGTGTATGTTAAGATAAAAAGTTCTTACTGTTTCATGCCTCTTTACCAGCACAATTGATATGAGACTGGTGTACTATGTTTTTGCAGGGCTATTTAGCACTGATTCTGGATAACTGTTTTGATAAATACACCAAACAGGGTTTAAAATGTAAAGTTTGATCACCTGAAATATTTCTTGCACCAGTTTTTCCCACTTTCAGCTTCCTTGAATTGTCCATGTTTTTCTCCTGTCATATTTAAATCAATTAGTTTCTCTGAAATCGTAAATCCAGAATAGAAAAAACAAAAAAATCAAGGAAATGTTTCGTTTTAAATTTTAATACAGTATAAAAAGTGATTAATATTGAAACCCAGCTCTTGAGTTTCAGTCAAGCGGTGATAAATGACATTTTGTTGCAACACATCGACTATTAATGAAGTACCGAGACTAGAAGACAGATTACCATTATAATGGCCCTGCGGAGTGAGTTCACAGTTCCGGAAATGGGGGCACCAATTATTTGGGCCAACGTTTTATTCTTAGCACGAGTTTGGGTCTCACACAAGGAGAAAGCCTTAATGATAAAATATGACCAGCTCTTATAGGAGCATAATGCCTCCCGTGCTTTATTATGTTTTCTAAGAATTATGTGTCCATTAATACTTCCAGTGTTGACGAACACAGGAAGTATTAATTTGTCCAGAAGCTGCCCGAGGAACCAGAGTCCTCACTGCTTGATGTCATAATGTTTTTCAGACGATCCAGTGGAGAAGCACAAAGTTAAGCAGGCAGCAGACTGCTGTAGAAAGATCCTTAGTCACGTCAACCAGGCTTTAAAAGAGTCTGAGGACAAACAGGTGGGTTTTTGAAATGTGCTATCATGTTAAATTTTCTTCATGCGTTTCCTTTAGATTCCTTATTTGGAGGAAGGAGACAGTAACAACCTCTCTCTATTTTTCTGTTTTTTGATTATTCCCCATACAGTTGTCTTCTTTAGTAAACCTCTTACTCATCCTATTTTTCTGTGTATTCCTACAGAAATTAGAGGACTACCAGAGAAGATTGGACCTCTCCTCTCTAAAGCAGACAGACAACCCAGTGATCCTCGAGCTAAAGGCGAGAGACATACACAAGTTACTTTATATGCGCTTGTTTGTCGTCCACCGCCATGTGCACTGTGAAACATGCACTGGATAAAACCATATGAGTAATAGGGTCCACAAACTTTAAATCTCACTTATCTATTTTTTCTGCTGTGCATCCGGCAGAACTTGGATTTGACCAAGAAGACACTGATTCACGAGGGCCCTCTATCATGGAAAATGAACAAGGACAAGACTATTGGTTTGCACTGATTGGTTTTATATATGCATTTAAATATTATGCTCTTCTACTACACCAATGCGTATGTATGAAAGTGAATGGATGCATTCTGTCTTTCCCTTTCAGAGCTGTACACGCTCCTCCTGGAGGACATTCTTGTTCTGCTGCAGAAACAAGACGAGCGTCTGATCCTAAAATGTCACAGCAAAATCCTGGCAGGCACCCCAGATACAAAACATACCTTCAGCCCCATCATTAAACTCAACACTGTTCTGGTGCGCTCTGTGGCTACAGGTCAGTTTGCAATCTCCCCAGACTCTCCGCTACCAAAATTTGTAGGAATAGTTCCCAGAACCCGTGTAACTGCTCAACCTTATCATAAGAGATCCGTATCTGGTGGCTTACGTCTGTTGAAGAAGAAAAAACACCTATTCTTTTTTGTAAAATTTCTTAATTTATTGTCCAGATTTTCACTTAAACTCCTTTGATAGAAACATAAACAATCTAAGCTTAAAGCCTCCTGATCACTCTCTCTCCTGCCAGACAACAAGTCCTTCTTCGTTCTCTCCATGTCTGACAACGTTGCACAGATCTACGAGCTCATGGCGCCCACAGTCTCAGATCAGAAAACGTGAGTCCAGTTTCCTCGCGACGGATTCCTTTGACATTTTTGCCACGCTTGTTTGTCTTACCGAACAGTGTTTTGTCTCCTCCCACACAAGGTGGCAGACTCTGATCTCCCAAAGAGCCGACACGATGAAGGTCAAACCTCACAGCATCATACCGTTACCTCAGACTGAGTATGCTTCTTTCCCGTTTTAAAATCCAGTCGCATCAGGTAGCTGCCAGGGTTTCGGCTTGTTACGGAGTTAAGTTTCTGTCTGTGTGTGGGTGTCTTAGTGGGGAGAGAGACGGCGTGGAGATCATTACAGCAGGCGTTTCCAGACTGAGCAGAGAACGAGACCGCACGTCCACTGGCAGCACGCAGTCCACAGGTAACCAAAGCAGCTCATTTCTATCTTGGAAAACATTTTTTTATCCACACAACTCGGACACTGCAGCTGTGTAACTGCAACCATCCATCTTTAGACAAAGAGAGCGGCCCGGCCTCCAGAAGTACACTGCAAGGTTCTCTACCTGCTAGCAACCCATTTGAGGAAGGAAAGGCAGACGTGGAGGAAGAGGAAGGTTTTCTGGACCCAGAGCTTTCGTGCGAAGTGTCTGAAGTTGACAGAGAAGGAGACTCGTTCGATGTGTTCCCCTCAAGGGCAGACGAAGCACTAAAAACATGTAAGTCCTCTGGACACGTAAAGAAATTAACTCGCCGAGCTCTTAAATTACAAAACAAGTCATTACTTCTCGCCGGTTTCTTCAGTGGCCGCATTAAAGCAAGTCCTGGTGAACCAGCTGATGTCCCAGGAGGCGGCACAACAAACCAAACGTTCCACGGGAGTCCGTCTCCTGAGAACCACCTCTTTGCGGACGCCGACGGACAACCGCGCAAAGGTGATGGTTCACAACGGCTCCGAGAAGAGCAGCTCTAAGACAGAGGACCTGGCTCAGGACCTGGGGTCAGGGGACACTGGATTCTTTGATTCTCCTGAAGACTATGGTATGTGCGAGGAAAAAAATGATTTATTAAAAAAAAAAAAAAAAAATGTGCTGGGAAATCCTTTGCAGTAGATCATTTTTGATTCTGCCTGCAGGATGTTTAGTCCTGGACGGTTACGGAGGGCAAGGGGAGAGCAGCACAGACGGCGACATCCTGGCGTCAGCCGAAGGGAAACAGCTGAGGACCTCACAAGGCTGCGCGGCCGACTCCGGCATCAATTTGAGGTTTTCTTCAACGTCACAGTTCGGCAGCCTCTCCACTTTCAGTAGACAGGTGTTGTCTCACCTTAGACATCTTCAGACCAGCCTCGGCTATTTAAAGGTACTCAAGATTACTCATCGTTATGCATTTCCAGCTCCTCAACACGCCGTTTAATCCCGGGTTCCTACACAGATTTAGAAACTCTGAGAAAAGTGTTGTCCTGGTCTGTTTAAGTATGGAGAAGGTTTTGTGTTTCCAGACTATATTCTCCATCTGAATGTGTTCTTCCATCCATCTCGCCGTCTATTCATCCATCAATCCACCTAACAACTGACTTAATTACCAATCTATCAACACTTTTTCCTCCCTTTTTACAGGAGGTTGAGACCAAGTACAATAATCTAATACGCCAAAGGACAGACAGGCCATCGACGGACACAGATGGAAACAAAGGTACTCACGTTTAAGCGTAAATCCTCCACTTTGAACCATTTCTGTTTGCCCTTTTTTTCTAATTTTCCATTCAATGTTGTTTTTACTCAGATAAAAGATAGTGTGGATGTCAGCGCCGCGGCTATTGACTTTGGTACCACGGAAGAAGTACCGACTCGCCGTCTGTTCTTTCTTCTCGAGTCCTGGACTTTCTGGACGTCGTATAAGCTTGTCCTTTGACTGCTGAGCTCTTCGTTTTGTTGTGTTTTTTTTTTTGTTTGTTCCCCCCCCCCCCCCCCCCCCCCCCCCCCCCACCCCCCCCCCGCC